CCCCGCCAGTGTTAGGACACCCCCGCCAGTGTTAGGACACCCCCGCCAGTGTTAGGACACCCCCGCCAGTGTTAGGACACCCCCGCCAGTGTTAGGACACCCCCCCCCGCCAGTGTTGGGACACCCCCCCCCCCCGGCCAGTGTTGGGACACCCCCCCCCGCCAGTGTTGGGACACCCCCCCCCCCCGCCAGTGTTGGGACACCCCCCCGCCAGTGTTAGGACACCCCCGCCAGTGTTGGGACACCCCCCGCCAGTGTTGGGACACCCCCGCCAGTGTTAGGACACCCCTGCCACTGTTAGGACACTCCCGCCAGTGTTAGGACACCCCCCCCCCGCCAGTGTTGGGACACCCCCTCGCCAGTGTTAGGACACCCCTGCCAGTGTTAGGACACCCCCGCCAGTGTTGGGACACCCCCGCCAGTGTTGGGACACCCCCCCCCCCCCCGCCAGTGTTGGGACACCCCCTCGCCAGTGTTAGGACACCCCTGCCAGTGTTAGGACACCCCCGCCAGTGTTGGGACACCCCCGCCAGTGTTGGGACATCCCCCCCCCCGCCAGTGTTGGGACACCCCCCCGCCAGTGTTGGGACACCCCCCCGCCAGTGTTAGGACACGCCCGCCAGTGTTAGGACACCCCCGCCAGTGTTGGGACACGCCTGTCTTGTGCTACAACACAGGCGTGTAACTCTGGACCATCCTGGCGCTCCTTACCTTCCTTGCAGTAAGGTAGCAAGGAAGACAAGTTCCTTCACTCCAGGTTCCTTCCTTGTAGGACCAAATATGACCTAAAATGTTTAGATCAAGCGACCTGTTTGTATAATAAAGCAACGTGTTCCTTGCTGAGCTGTAAGGCTGTCATGGCATGAGGACAGAATTCATTTTTCCTTCGGCGTCATTACAGTAATTACCATCATCTTCAGACACGCAATTAAGTCACTTCTGGAACGCTTCCTCGGGTTCAGTACGTAACTAAGTTGCTGGAAAATGTTGTTGTTGTTAAAGATTCGCTACCTGGAACTGAAAGATCCAAGTAGCACGGGCTATGGTGAGCCCTGCTGGAAAAGATATTGTGGTAAATAAACGAGATTTTTATATATTTAGTTGTGTACAGCACTTCATGTGAATGTTAAGTCGTCTTCTGTTACCTCCTTGAATGTATCTTTATTATTCTTTATTGTTGTCTTGGTGTTCAGCTCAGGTGCTGCTTATACTTGTGCCAGACTTCTTCTTGTTTAAGATTCGCTACCTGGAACAAAAAGTTCCAAGCAGCACGGGCTATGGTGAGCCCGTAGTTATGCCAGACTTAACAGTCCCTTATGGTGCTCAATTTTGGCCGGAGTTCTCGGCGACCACTGCTCCCTCGCTACAATGATGGCGTCATTATATTGCTCGAAGGCCATCGATGCGTGTTGTCACTCAGTAAATATAATGCCATTTGTTGATAATTTTGAAGATAGTTTTCAGTGGTGGATGACATATGGTAGGGTCCAGTATGGTAGGACACGTAGGGTCCAGGGTTCGAGTCTCCTACAGCCCAGGTGAATGGGATATTTGAGGGGGGGGGGTAACTTGGGTCTGAGGATACGTACTGTATCTACTCTCTCGTTCCTGGCAGCTTCCTCTACGTGAACTTTGACCCTGCCTGCTTAGTGGGGAATACTGATCACTTACTCTTAAGCTTCAGGCAGTATACATTTCCACAAATGCAAATTATATATATATATATATATATATATATATATATATATATATATATATATATATATGTCATATAAAGAAAAACTACCACGTCCGCAGCTCATGATCTACAAAACAGCAGTCACGTGTTCGTGGGAAGTTTCGCAATTGTCAGATGACACCAGTCTGTCTCCCTGGGTAAACTGCTTGGATACCGCTGTAAACTAATCTGGGCACAAAGGCAGAAAATATGATGGTGTCTTGGGTAAGGAATCTGAGCACATTGGGGTGGTCTGGGCGACTCTCTCACCCATAACCGATAACGCCAGCATCTTGTCCATGTTTGGTCAAGAGCCTCACTTGCCATACTGAGAATTGCTTCACCTTCCCGCGCTTGTATGCTGCGTGGTGGTGGTGGTGAGCGGCGGTACCACAGTGACTGGACTTGGCAATAAGACCAGTGAGGTTTGGTGTGGCGCAGGAACACGGGGATACCACTTAATATGGTCAGTCTACCCTAACATCTCCATATACAGCCTCGTCTAGTCTTCTTGCCTACTCTTCCCACACTATCCATCTCTCTCGTTACATGATCAAATATAATTGTATCTCTTCCTTAAAACCTTGTAATGCGTCTACTGATGATTGTCAGTAGTGATTGTGTAGTATATATTGTACATACTGACGATCAGGTGTGGTGAGGATAGTGTATAAAAACAATGTGTTGTGAAAATATACACTGTTGTGACCGTGTGTGTTAAGATGTAACCCACGAAATTCTGGCTCTGGGGAGACCCCGTGGGACCCGGGGGTCTAGCACTAGGTATGACGAGCAAGGCCTCATGCCTCGGATTTATTATACAAGACTGTTTATATATACACACAAATATAGTATAAATTTCTCTTGTAAGTTTACATTGGAATATTCCGTTTTATTATGAGAACCTGTGAACAGATAACACACCACTTCCACAATACACATTATATTCCCCACATTTACTTTAGATTTTTTGTGTATTTGCGTCCAAGTTGTATATTTTTCTTTATGAAAGTGGATAATTGCGTGATAATATTTTCAACGATTCTTCTCATATTATTCGTGGGAATACTTTCCGGCAACTATACTGCTCACGACACGCTTCCTCAGCATGGAATGCCGCGTCAGACATTATGCTGCCTCAGCATGAAACTTCACCTCAATATGGCCACCAACCACTCGAGGGAACCCCCAGAATTGTCGATGGCGTGTTAAGACACCCCCCCCCCTTTCCAATTAGGTGGGGGGGGAGAGGAGCAAACGACTTCTGATTCCTTGTAGCAAGCTTAGAGCTTGTACTCCCATAGTTCATGCTATGCCTTACGCCACTAGTTTTCCCTGGAACAAGATCCACCAATCGGCTACCAACCAGGGGTTATAAACCTATGGAACTGCATACCCGCTGAAGCTCTAATTGCTCAAACTGCTGAATTTTAAAATCCAGCTTGACAAAATCATCAGGACTAATGGGAGGACCTTTGACAAGCCACCGGCTTCCTGTCCTCGCCAAGGACACTAGTGAGAGCCTTCGGGTAAATTCATATAAATGTCCTCAATTCCTGCTGGGTGACTAGGGGTAAACAGTTAAGAATTGGCGGCAAGTCAATCCTCCCTGGTCACAACTCTAATCCACACCAAATCGCCGGGCGCCGCGGGGCGAGTGTGTGACCACTACGGAAGGGTGACTGACCTACAGTTGCGTAGCGCCTCTGTGTATCGTTGCGTCTTTGTTTTCTATGTTTATATTTTGTGTTTTGGGGAGTTTACTTGTCCATTCGCTGGACGGCCAACCCGTCCTAACACTGTCACATTTTGACGTATACTTTACCTAAGGCCAAAAATCCTCGTTCTAGAAAATGGCAGCAGCTCGCGAAATTGATATACTGTCCCATTTTCTGTTTTCGGTCCTCTGGTAGGTTAAGATAAGGGCACTTTAGTACGACAGTTTCTAGACGTTGGGAAACCTTAAAGAGAACGGGCTGCAGTTCCTTTAGTAGCCTGGTCGGCCCCGGTGGCTGCCATGGAGGGCAGCAGACTCCGTCCTCCCTCGCTGGTCTGTCTCCAGCTTCACCTTCTCTAATTTATTTTATTATGGAGCCCATATCCCTCCTATGGGCGGGGCAGAAAGGTTACTTACATAATGGCCTCACAAACTGAACCGCAAAATTCATTTAGCTAAGTTAGTCAGTCTTGAACTAAAGTATCTCAAATTTATTTGTTTGAACTTGTTTGAGATACACTTTGCTCTGCAATTAATAGTTTGATTTTGTTTAATTTATGTTTCCTTCTAAAATCTATATTATTCAGCTCTTCTGGCTAATGCCTCCCACATCACAAATGTCAATTCACAAAAAAAAATGTTTTAACTGTGCACATATCTGGCCTTGTCAGTGTATGACGCTATGCCGCTGATCACTCTGATGATTGATGAAGATTAAGCCACCCAAGAGGTGGCACGGGCATGAATAGCCCGTAAGTGGTGGCCCTTTCGAGCCATTACCAGTATCAAAAGATGATACTGGAGATCTGTGGAGGCGCAACTGCACCCTACGTGACGGGAGATGTCTCCCGGACCAAGTGTGGCATCGCTGATCACTCAAGTTCAAGTACGTTTATTGAGATAACAAAGAAATACATCTCAAAAGGATAGAGTAGCTTAGGCTATTTCTACCCCCTTTACTGATCACTCATGACGCTGCAGACATGTTCGTCAGCACAAGAGGTCAAGTATGTTTATTGAGATAAGCAATAAATACATCTCAAAGGGATAGAGTAGCTTAGGCTATTTCCCCCCCCCCCCCCCCCCCCCCCCCCCCACCACAAGAGGTCTATAGGTAGGTGTAGTCAAATGTTAGACCCGCGGGACAGGAATCAACATAGTAATTTGGTACTTTTCTTATATATGCTAGAAAATATTTAATGTTCCTTCAAAGTCTTAAACATTTCGAGGAATTTAAGCTGACTCAATGAGCGACCATCCCATTTACGAAAAAGAAATTCCCAAAGAGAACAACATTTTTATAACTATGAATACCTTAATTAGTTTAAAGTATTTATTTTTTAGTAGTTTAGTAGTTTAAAGTATCCGCCGGGGATTAAACCCGGAACCTGAAGACTATGAATACCGAGCGCCGTCCACTCAGCCATCATGCCCCCTACTGCCCATACGCTGTATATAATATTCAAATCCAAATAAATTTTAACTAAATGGCACATTTAGCTAAACTTCATATGTAAAGTATTGGAGTAATTTGAAAGCAAACTAACATTCAACTTTGTGTTTCAGAACTTGTTGATGTTACACCTTCAGCGGGAGCGAGACAGTCACCTGCGCACCATCCAGGCCCAGTTGCTCCTGTTTGAGTCGCAGCTGCGCCGGAGACAGAAGGAGGTGGAGGCATTACTGCAGCAAAAGGATGCCACCATTCATCAGCAGCAACACATCATACTTTATCTCTCCCGGGCCCTCAATGCCAACCAGAAAGCACGACACGTACTTCAAACTTCTAACCAAAATACAAAGGAACAGATTAGCAAGATACCCAGTGATAAAGAAGCCCAAGACGACGAGAACACTCAAAATAAAGATAATCAAACCTCAGGCTTGCTTATTACCTCGACAAAGAGTGACCCAGAAAGCCTAAATGATAGTGATAGCGCAATCATGCTTGAGGATAACTTCGACTTCCCTGTGTTGATACCAATGGGTAAGGGAGAGGTTAAAGTTGTGCGAAGTGTTTCTGATGCTGTGGAGGCAGCCAATAGGTCATCCTGCTCCACAGCCATATCTGCCGTAGGTACATCGACAGCTTCAGTCAATAGTGCCCTACTTGCGCCAGGTTTCAGCTCCGGTACTGGGCCGGGTTCGCTGTCCACATCACCCTCTTGTTCTAGTGAAGAAAGCGATGACAGCCCAGCGTGTACATTGACCAAGGGCCGTGCAGAGCTCTTACGAACAGTTTATAGCTTGGAAGAGGAGGAAATCTGCCACGCACACCAAGAACACGACTCTTTATTAGAGGACACAGTTTCACCGACTCCCTCTCTAGTGCCATCCGTGACACCCTCCTTGCAGTCCATCCTCAAAGTTACCTCACACTACGACTCAGATGCCACGCTGAGCGACGGAGAGAGTGAGGATGAGGAAGAGGATATTGTGCCACACTTCGATGATTCGGCCAGTGACAGAAGACGGCTGCTGGGATCGTACGAAAAGCTTAACACTCTGGGCGCAGCTCCAAAGAAGGTTAAGGCTGAGGAAGAGATCCAAGTGACATACAACCGCGTCATGAGCAACCACAGATCTGTCACCAAACCCAAAGATGTGAAATATCGACGTATCAACAAGGCAAAGTCGAGGTCACTGGAGGAGCTGAGAGGGAAACTTAAATATTGGACTGACAGAGGAGGGAAACAGTCACTGTCTGTGGACCTGGACAACCACTCTTATGCCTGAGGAAGGGTAGTGAGAGACCCCCCAAGGTCAAGGGTACAAGGACAAAGCTCCTAGGCCAGTGAACCTAGGCTCCTAGGTTCAACTGTCCTCGAGGAGCCCGGTTGGAGCGTCAGTGTTGAAGTGAAACATAACTTTTGTGTAAAGAACATTGCTCAGAAACTTTTATGTTTACACATGGACCAAAAAAAAAATTGTATCTGAACAAGTTTGTACATATGAATTTTGTCCTAAGATTCTTCATAAACCTGAGTGACGCTCCAGTACACAGGCCACCGAGGCATTATGTTAATGTATTTATATTCCTAGTTTTGTGTATAGTGACCCGCATCACCTTGGTAAAGGTGGGACCACAGTACCAGTGACACCCTCAATGTTACCAATCCAGTGTTGGGAGGACATCTGATAACCCCCCCTCCCCCCCCCTCTCTCTCAGTTGTCACAACTACCGCTGAGAGCATCTTCCGCGCCAAGTGTTGTCATTCTGATCAGCATCAGTCATGTGTGCTTATCTCTGCCATCCATCACATTGAATCATATAAAGCATCGAGTTCTAGACATGGAAAATAAGACAAAATACAAATACAATTTTCACCCAGTAGATATTTTTGTAGTTTCATAGACTCTGGGTGACTGCAGTAACAATTGTCACAGGAACCTTTATGTACAGTATTGTGTATAGTGTTGACCCAGAGTTGTGGAGTGTGCGAGCCACCTGGACGACTCCTCCGCCTCTACTAGTCTCCAATGTTTAGTGAACAAGACATTCCGCTCAGTGGTGTGTCTTAGATGCATCCTTAGCTCACTTGCTCTTTGCACTACACTTACTCTCTTCCAACACTTGTCACTACTTACAATTTCATCGTCAGCAGTTTGATTGTTATTAACTTTAATCTTCTGTTGCAACCAGATTCTTGATAAAGTTTATATAATAGAACACTGGAAGACCTCAGTGTAGGTCTCTGGCAGACCATAAGACCGGTGACCACAAGACCATCCCCGCCCAACACAAGACGAAACTACGACGTTGCTGCAACGTTCGAAAAGTTGTAACACCTATAACAAGTTGTAACAACCAATATAGCAAGTTGTAACAACGTTCTAATACGTCATAAAAACGTTATAATAAGATGTAACAACTTTATTACAAGTTGTAACAAGCGGAAAATATGGCCAGCTTCGTTGTGTTTACAGGGCAGTGACCACAACAAACACACACACACACCCTACACACTCTGCATATTTATATTTAGTGGTGGGGTCTCGGCCCTCAACACACACGTGCAACCATCGAAATATCCAAGACACTTCAACTATTAAATGTTTAGTTTAACATGGAAATAATTCTAGAACTCTATTCATGCAACCCGTCCTCCTAATAGAGCGTCGCATTTTGACGTGTATTCCAAGGCCAAAAATCGTCGTACTAGAAAATGGTAGCAGCTCAAGAAATTGACATACTATCCCGTTTTCTGTTTTGGGTCCTCTGGTAGGCTATGATAAGGACACTTTAGTACGACAGTGACGTTTGGGAAACCTTAGGACCAACGGACTGATTCATGGGTTAACTTGTCTGCGGATCTAAAGACAATGCTACACAGTACCTGTGAAAGGATGTTGACCAGACCACACACTAGAAGGTGAAGGGAGGACGACGTTTCGGTCCGTCCTGGACCATTCTCAAGTCGATTCAAAGGAAACCGTTTCATGTCAAAGGAAACCGTTTCATGTCAAAGGAAACCGTTTCCTGTCAAAGGAAACCGTTGCTAAAACATTATACCCAGTAAGGACTTTCACAAGAGTTTACCTATTCCCAGCAGATCTTCCAAAGGATGTGACCAAAAGCAAGAATCTGTGTAGCAAGAATTGTAATAATCATACCGTACAACTTTGGAAGCAAAATAGCTTAGCTGTTCTGGGAGCAAGTTGGCTCGACAGCTTGGAGTCAGACTCACTATAGTTTGATCAGGTCCTCATTCTCACAACTTCTCATACACTCTACTGCTGCACTTTCCTCGTCTTCCTTTAGTCATCTGCTGAGGTTGCTGAAGCTTTAAATGTATTTTTAATCATACAGTGGAGTCTTAAATATGTTCCTGTGAATTTTCATACTTATGTATGTATTGTATATACAGTATTTGATAATTGTGATATGTATTGTAATTAAAAGTAATGACAATTTATGATTGTATTATACATAACTGCTTCATTTGTTACTATAACTGTATATTCTTTAATATATATATTATATATATATATATATATATATATATATATATATATATATATATATATATATATATATATATAATACTGCCCAAACTAGGTAGAAGTAAACGACACGGCGCTGAAAACCTGAGAACAGGTTCCAGTCCATGGCCCGAGATCTAAATCACAACACAACACAACTGACCAAGCTATATTTTGCTGTCAATATCAATGTTAAACTCCAACACTTCGCCCTCAAGTCTTCAGACTTGATGTAAATAGATCAGTTATTATAACACACAAAACTGAGATACTTGGAAAAAAAAATACAGGCTTGTATATCCCAGTTAATGGAAAACATTTCCTGCCGGACTGTGTAAAATATTAATACCGTTCATTTAATTTTACACATGCAGCGATTCCTTACTGGTAAACAGGCACACGAGGTCACGATGAGCACCAAACTTTAAAGTAACAATCAAAAGAAGGTAAGATTACCTCTGCCCGAAACGCTACGCGTACTAGTGGCTGTACAAGAATGTAACAACTCTTGTATATATCACAAAAAAAAAAGATCTGAAGATGACTTAGTACCGTCTGTCACACAATGCTCAAAAGTTCCAAGTTTTCAACCATGATGTCAATATGAAAGAAAAAAACAAGTACTGTACAGCTAATACTGTAATATGTATGAAGACAATTGTTATGATCAACACTAGTGGCTGCCTCATTGTCAGTCATGAGGCATATTATATATATATATATATATATATATATATATATATATATATATATATATATATATATATATATATATATATATATATATATATATATGCGAACAAGCCTGAACGGTCTCCAGGCATATATGCAACTGAAAACTCACACCCCAGAAGTGACTCGAACCCATACTGCCAGAAGCAATGCATATGATGTACAGGATCCCTTAACTGCTCGACCAACACAACTGGACAAAAGAGGATGGTAGCCGAGGCTAATTCCCCATCCCCCCGCCGTCATTCTGTTGGTAATTTTGGGCATGGTATTTTATCAAATCACTTCATTCTTTGATAAAGAATGATTTGATAAAATACCATGCCCAAGATTACCAACAGAGTGCCGGCGAGGGGATGGGGAATTAGCCTCGGCTACCATCCTCTTTTGTCCGGTCGTGTTGGTCGAGCGGTTAAGGGATCCTGTACATCTTATGCATTGCTTCTGGCAGTATGGGTTCGAGTCACTTCTGGGATGTGAGTTTTCAGTTTATATATATATATATATATATATATATATATATATATATATATATATATATATATATATATATATATATATATATATATATATATATATGTCACCATACAGCCATGGAAGGATGGTAAACAGGTCGTATGGGACTACACGTGTGCGTCTACATTGGCTGACACCTATCTACCTCACAGTACAGCTGAGGGAGGCGGGGCGGCCACTTTCAGAAAGACCCAGAAAACTAATAAGTACAGGGACCTAGAACGCTGTTACAGGTTCGTGCCAATAGGCTCTGAGACTGGGCGACTGGAGTAAATGTGCACTTAAGTTCCTGAAGGAGGTGGGTGAGGAACTCATTAGGCAAACTAGAGTCTCAACAGCGGCCAGTTTCCTGTTCCAGCGCTTCAGTGTCGCGATCCAGAGAGGAAATGCTTTGCTGTATCTTGGGCACGAACCCGGCCTCCGAAGAGCTGGATGAGGTCTTCGAACACTGATTGTTATGTGTGTGTTTTCTGTAAACTTTAACACAATGTAATAAAATTAATAATAAAAACGAAGAATAGGGTTGGTAGAAGAAAATATTAAAGTGTTCAATGAGAATTCACAAGGTCTTCTCTGAATACTCTTTATTTTCTTTGGCTTTTTTGTTTTTTACTTTGATTTTAATGTTTTTTATATATTCAAAACATAGAAATTTCATCAAACCTATCCTAACCTAATCAAACCTAACCTAACATAACCAAGTCAGTAATTCATGTTCGTAATATAATACAGTATTATTGTTAGAAAAGAACCAATCTGGAAATAAATATTTTAAGATAACGAAAATCATTCGGCCTGTTGAGCCAATCGGATCTTGGATGCAAGGCAAAGTAGTGTGGTTTCGGCAATTAGGCACGACACACACACGCACGCACACTACAATGCAACAATGCATTGATATATGACAATTATTGGTGGACGCAAACATTACATAATGACAAGGATTTACACAAATTCGATCAGTCTATATAAAATTCACGACATTCTCCCTTCTGAATACCTCGAGTCTAATCGCGATTGGATATGCAGTCGAATCCCGTCCCCCAGGCACGAGAATTAATAATATTAGAACAAAAAACATAATACATTGTTGCTTCACTAGATCATGGTAATATTGGCAATACAATACCAATAAATATGGGTACTCACTGTTTATCCGCACATGATCTTGGAATGATGTATAGGCCAGTGTGGTGTTGAGGGTGGGATGGAGGTTGAGGATTGCCGCCAACATGTTGAGTCACATAGACGAGGAACACGAGAGGCTTCAGTTCATGGAAGCCCTTAGTTCGCACTCTCTAAAGTCTGAGTGTTAATTACTTCATTAGTTTAATTACTACTTCATTACTCATTTTTATTTTTTACTCATTTGCATTTTTAAAACTGTAAAATCTGTAAAATTACATCAGACTGAGGATTGACATCAGATCTTCTCTTGATTAACTTAAAATTGTTTCAAAACTCTCCACCTCTACCATGCTTGCTCGAGTTGTTCCGTCTTCCTCCTCCTCTGACGAATCTTCTGAATACTGTCAATTCATCTTGCTATTTTCTCTCAAATTTTTTTTTTTTTTTTTTGACCATCATGAGACATGCTTGGTGCAGTAGGAACATCATCACAATGAGTCCATGCATCATCTACTTTCTCAAGACTGGTTGTCATCAGTTCATTTCTCAGTTGTCGGGACTGTGTTTATTCTCTTAACATAGACAAGAATTTCTTGTCTTAATTTCATCTCGCTTATTTTTTTTTCCACAAAATCCTTAAAGATTTGCAGCATTGTCGTCGTGGTCGGCAGGAAACACACCAGCTGCAGGCCAAAGTGGTTCCAGACATACTTCAAGGTCGATTTCTTGACCATTCCCCATGCATGTGTATAAGAGCTGTCTTTTAAGTAAAATGTTTTCATGATGTTGCCCTTCTTTACATGGAGTTGCCTGGCAAATTCAGTTCTGAAGTGGAGTTGAGATTCGAAATTACTGCTTGATCCATGTGTTGCATCAAGGAAGTTGTATTGGGTGGCAAAAATGTACTGAACGTATTGCCCTTAACTAGCTCATCTTCATGTGGTGTTGAGCTGTTATCAAGAAGGAGCACCACTCTGCTGTTCTCTGGCAAGCCAATGCAGTTAAAATGGGGGTTTCACCTCGGGTACGAAACGACTTAAAAAAAAAAAACTACATTCATGAAAAATGGCTCCGAATATCCATGCATTGGGCTAGGCCTTATAAATCACAGGGATAATAGTCTTGCCACCCTTAACTGCCCTGTATTTACACTTTTGCCAATAAGAATGCTTTTAATTTGTGCGCGCCAACTGCATTTTCACAACAAAGTACAGAGATCCTTTCTATATTTACCTTGTACCCAGCTGAACCGTCACTTTTCATCCTGACGAGTCTATATAACCGTTCAACATTCGTTAGTATAAACTTGTTTCATCAGCGTCATAAATTTGCTCAGGACATGAAGAATCGTCCTGCACGATCTCTTCAAATTCCAACAAACATCCATCAGCGCCTTCTACATCAGCTAATTGCTTCTCACCTCGTAATTTCACGTTGAATACCATGACGAGCCTTACAGCCCCTTAAGCCATCCATCACTACACACACAATTATCGCGAAGTCTCATTGGCGGGTGAAAATGCTTGCAGTTTTTACTTAATCATCCTAGCACCGGCTGCTTTGAAAGTCTGCCTGTATCAGACAGCCTCGTAATAATGTCTAACACCATTATTAAACAACACTTTTTGAGACGCATTACTACGTCACTCACATTTAGCATAACTTGCAAACATCTTTTCTTTAGCCATCAGTATATCATTATGAGTGCTTTTGCTAACGTTGCATTTGTACCACTCCTAGGAATACCAGCTTCAACTTCCTTTATAAACTAAACTTTTGTTGACAATTCATCACAACACGTTTTCTCTTGGCTTCACCGCATGTTGAAGCCCTGAACTACAGATTTCCTGGTGCCATAGTAGCAAGATGCAAGCAAAATACGCGTAGATACAAAACGGCGAAACAGGGGTAAGGACATTGTCCGCGGCGGGCACACGCAAGAACAAGACTGGGTCGCGGGACAGGTCTCGCCCCCCTCCGGCGCCTGGCTGCCTGCCCGCCATACTACCTATAGGCCTCTCCCGGGAGGCGGCGCCCGGGGGCTCCCAAACAATAATAAGATAATCGTAAGATTGAGGTTTGGAACAAGAGTGGCACAGAGATATTAATTAAATACACTATTCTTATCACTAATGAAAATGCAATACATATTAACAGTATAACTAACTGTTCGCTGAGCAGTGAATGGTTGTTAAACGATTTGGCGGGTCGTATCCCGGTGAATAATAAGATTAAGAACTTGCCCGAAACGCTATGCTTGCTAATGGCTTTACAAAAATGTAGCAACTCGTGTGCGTGTATATATTATATTATATATATATATATATATATATATATATATATATATATATATATATATATATATATATATATATATATATATATATATATATATATATATATATATATATATATATATATATATATGTTGTACCTAGTAGCCAGAACGTCGTACTCGGCCTACTATGCAAGGCCCGGTTTGCCTAATAAGCCAAGTTTTCCAGAATTATTATATTTTCTGTAATTTTTTTCTTATGAGATGATAAAGCTACCCA